ATTCCATTTAAGATCGTCTCTGATTTTAAAACCAAGTAATTTAAGAGATGAGACACGTTCGAGCTGGTGGAATAGCATTTTTTGGGTTACTCTATAAAATTTATCAGCATTTCGTTACACTTCCGAGGGTTAAACTTCATCTTACGGTCAATACAAAATGAGTGTGTATCCCCAACAGCCAAATCGAGAAGGCTTATTGAATTGCGAGGCACAATTTCTACAATTGTGGTATCATCAACATATTTTGCTCTCTAATTCCAATCCCTTAGGAGTTTATTTATCATGACTGAGAAAAGAGTGACACCCATCTTGGTCCCTTGGGGTATACCTCCATGAGTATGCTTCCAATCCGATCAAACGTTTCCGATGCGTACGGCTTGAGCTTTATTTGTTAAAAAAAGATCTTATCCAACTGAATAGCACTGGGTCCACACCGAGCAGTGATAATTCCTCCATAAGGATCTGATGGTATTTGGCATTTGTTTCACAATTAAGTACGAGATCTACGGCTCCCTCGCTTCCCACAGCTGTGGCATTTAAGACCCAACGAGAGGGCAACTCAACGTAAGCTTCTTCGACCCTGCACGTATTTTAGCCTTGCGAGTTACCCTGGCCAGTCGAGGGTTCTGATAACGCTTCTGTCCCCGAACTTAATGGAGACTTGCATTTTCTGTGCAAACTACATCGATGCCACTAATACTTTAAATCACTAACAGACTTAAATCAGCTCCACATAGAGGCGAGCAGCACCATGCAATACAACATGGCGAACAGCAGTATTTACAAAAAGCATGTGCTTTGTCGTGTGACACTTTCTGAACAGCTTCCGAACGAATGGCGAAATCTTAAAGTGCATTTATTTTCAAATTATATTTTCTGAAAATTTGTACAAGGAGGAAGGCTCATAATTTTTCCCTGGGGGTAAAACGTTCATTCTGTGTACTGCATTCTTCATGCGCGGGATCGATTCCTCGTAATAAAAATAGGTCCTCAATGTGGGGGCTATCAATTACTGGTGGAAGCTCTTGTTAGAACCACTATTGTATTAATGCGAACACCTCCAGTTACCACCATTTTTGTGAAACCCTGTTTGAACTGTTAGTTAAACTATGCAATCAAGAGCTGTTGTGATGGAGCGGTACCGTAAGTGTCTGTAGGCACCTGGGGTACCCAACTGGACTTTTTCACAGAAAACTACTAAAGTTGGCTTAACGTCACGTTGGCAAAAAAGAGTTAATTATAGCGTAGTGTGTTATAGTCGAATTTTCAGTCCCAGCTTCCCAGCTTGTTCGCTGAAGCTGGCCAAAAAGCTAAAAGGGGAGTTTAGAAGTCATATTCAATCCATGATAGCTCATGGTTAAACCCACACAGTCGGAGAACTTTGCTGCTGTCTCCTGTCAAACTGTGACTTCTACTGTGAACACGCGCAAGTATCTACGACAAAAGGCTTCTATTGTATACCAGCATATTCTAACTTATAGTTCTCAGCTCAACTAAGTCTGGCCCTCAAATTTTTAGAGTCTGAACGCTTCGCGAAAACAGTATCGCAATGTAAAAATTCAGTATGCTTCGGGTTCGGAAATAAAACCGTGAGAGTCGTCGCTGGCGCGGTGAGGATCGGAGAGCGCCAATCAGAACAGATGCCATTTGAACTTTGGTCAAGTCTAGGTTAGCCAATCAAAGATGAGTAAACTTTTCGATCCAGTCACATCATATGAATATAGCGTCCGCGTGGCATGGATCAAGTTTATCATAAAACAGTCACGATGGCAGACAACTGATGTCAAGTCTCCGTCAACTACCAGGAGCCCAGCAAATGCCAGGAACTCGTCAGGTTCATCGAAGAGAACAGCAAGTTCAACGAAAAGCACAGCAAGTTCAACGAAAAGCACAGCAAATTCAACGAGAAGCACAGCAAGTTTAACGAAAAGCACTGCAAGTTAAAATATGGAGACCATGGTAAGTTCAGTGATAGGCACGGGAAATTCAATGGAGGCAACAGCAAGTGGATTTGTCTCTGAAGCAACTACATCGCCAAGGCGTTCAGGCAACGAAGACTTTATAGGCTATGTTCACCAGTTGTCTCCGATAAAACGTAACAAAAAAACACTATTGACTATTCTACACTGCTGTTACAAACTAAAGATGGAGAGCAGCAAGAAGCGTTGCTGTACTCTAAACACAAAAGGCCGCTGTCGGTGGATAGCGAGAAATGTCGTACGCCTGCAAAGATTTAACCCCTCACCTACACTTCAGATGGCGAGAAGATAATCATAAATGACATGACCAAGATATCAGTACCTGGGCAAACTGAGTACTCATTTCAGTTCAAAGAGAGCCTGATGCCGGCGCGTACGCAGCCCGTTTCAATTGAAGACATACTAAGTCGTACCAATGAATGGGAGAATGTCACATTGAGCGGAAAAGTAGTACGTGTTGGCGACATTTCAACGGTTGGTGCGAAGCAGTTGAAATCGGCGGAGACTACGTCTGCAGATTCCAGTGGAACTATAGTTGTAGATATATGGGAACAGCAAATTCCAATGATTGAAAACGGGAAAGTTTATCGTATTGCCCCTGTTTAAGTGCGTTCTTGGGCTGGAAAGAAGAAACTTTGTACTACTGTACGTTCAGTAGTAACAGAAATTATTGCTGATGACACACTTTCAAAGGTGTTCGTTTCCGAAGAAGATCTGAACACAGTAGACTGTAATGAAGTAACGGTGAAAGTGTCAAATATTTACTCAGTTGAGGCAGTTGAAACATTCATTCATTGTTTAAATAAGTATTGCTCAAAACGACTTCTCCAACCCTCGGCGGGAAAAATTGTGCACTGTGACAGGTATGGATACACTATGAGATCTAGCAATTGTACTAAACAAGTCTGTGCAAAGATTGTTATCCAACTTGAAAGTGGCGAGCAAGGCAAGTTAACGGCATTTCAAAGTGTTTTGAACAGCATCTTTGAAGGAGAGATTTCTTCGCTGTCAGAAACCGACGTGGCAGAAAAGCTTTTACTTTTAGAGGAGGTAATTATTCGATATAATTCTGATACGCAAATTATCACAGGGCTGCTGTTGTTAAAATTGTCTTAAATGAAAGCAAAAGTTATTCACTTTTATTAAATTTTGAAATGGAATTACGAGTTGCGTTGCATTGCGTTGCGTTGCTGAATTACGTACTGGAGAAAACGAATGATGTAGTTGAAATTGGTGGATACTTATTTCAGCAGGCATTGTTGACACTACTATATTCAGGAATTTAAAATTTAAGTCAATTTATACTGGAGACAAAATCGCAAACTTGCACAGTGTACGCATGAGACAGCCCCAAAATGGCCGATTTACGACGCTGATTCGCAGGAGCATACCAGTCCCCTCCCCCGACAAATATATTCGTACTGATTCCTACCACCACCGGGTGCGGCTAATACACAATTCCTCCCAGACGACTTGCGATCCCGACACGCAGACTAATAAACCCCGCCGATGGTGGCATAGTGGAGGCTGAAGCCCCCACAAAAATGAAGTGATGTATCTGATCAAACAGCTATCTATAGTTGAGACTGTGTCATCGTCGCTTTACGACTTTGAAGCCCTTTTCTTTCAACCTGAGTATTCTTACGCACATTTCCTGTTCGTTTGTGAGCTCTACAAGGGCGTATTTTGATAATGGATGGAGCGAAAGGAAGGAAAACCACTTCGATAATTTTGGTCACTGCACACCGACGGACGTCAATTTGATAATAGTGTTGACTCAATGTACTCAGTCAAAAGTGTTGCTGTATTTTCCACAAGAAAGGACAACTGGTATCGCCCCTTCAAGGTTGATTTTGGGTAAAAGCTTCAAATACAAAGAAAGGAGCACGGTGACAGTCAACTGGGAGGGCAAGAAAATACAAGCGGAGATTACAGCTGTGAAAGGAAGTCTTACAACCTTTTTCCCATAATTCTTTGCTAGACAAACAAAGATTCTGTCAGCCATTTTTTAAATGGGCTCCTCACACATCACACCAAAAAAGTTAATTTAGAGCACATTTTGTTGGTCATTAAGTTTTTACATTTATTACTACCGAACTTACTCTCATTGTGTCCTTGCTTAAAGAAAACGAAGAGATTCTAAATCAAAAAGACATTGAGTGGTCTTCCAAGTTTATTTCTGCAACTGAACCCGATCCAATTTCCAATCAGTCCAAATTACCAGTCGAAAAATAGGAAGAAAGCCAGCAGCCACGGAGAACTCAAGTCAATTGAAGGGATCATGAGGTAGTTACCGTTCATTTGCATTTACAAGATAATGAGGTCGCGTTGATTTCGGTGAAAAAAAATTCCACCTGTTAACGACACCATGTAATTGTCCATTGAGTAATACAGAACTTGGGCTGAATCAAATTGAATGATATTTCACGGATAGAATTGATTCGAGTTGTGTAAGGAATTATAGTCGTTTCATCAACTTTCAGCTCTCAGACTTCTAATGGCCGCCAGTTTGCAAACCTAATATGTTACACGTACGTAAACTTAATGTGGTACGTAGCACAACTTGAGTGCAAGACGGTTGCACTCTCAACAGAAGATTCAGAACGAAACAGGTACCTGCTGAAATTTGTTCTGAATTGCAATTAATATTAGTATTAATTAATATTATACCATTTATTTTCAAGACCGAGAAAACTACCAACAACGCACATGGTGTGGGAAACTGGCCCATCGATACATGTCAGCGGGGCTTATAACTTTCCATACGTAAACTTAACGAATCGTAAAACAGTACTTTGGTTTATGATAAAACTTTCTATCACGAGCTCAGTGGTAGGAGTTGGTGTGGGTGTCTGACTGTTTGATGCTCCTTGGATAAGATAGTAATTACGCTAAAGAGAAAAACGCCACTGATGTTTGATAATTCTTTTTTAAGGACGACGTCATCCATAGCAAAGCTAAGCAAGGATACGGCAAGGTATCAATTGAAAGGAATTTTGCGATCAATAAAAAGCCATAAGATATGCTTCTAACCTTTTAATTGCAGATATTAAATAGATGGGGTGACATAACACTAAATACAGTTTTCTTTGTGTGATTTTTGTAGAGTACAGAAATAAACGCTCATACATATACATGATCTACATCCATTCAGTTTTCAAATAAGAATTCCGTTTTACCACGACAAAGTTGTCTGTCTACCAAAACGAACGCTCCTCATAAGCGTTCCCTTTTTTTCTCGTACGAACCGAAACCACATAAGAAAATTAGTAATCTAAATTTACTCACTCTGTTAAGACGGTTCTCTCCGTTTACGACAAAAGCCTTTAAAACTTAAAGCAAAGCAATAAATTTAAATATCAATGCAGTCAATTGTTTTCAAATAGCAATGGCTCGAAAGTTAAACAAAGCAATATGAGAGCAAAATGCATTTCAATTAAAGGACATCAGTTACGGAGTCAATAATATCGGCATACGGGATACTTCAATGGTAATTAATACCACACTACTAATCCAATACCAAACTACAAAAAAATTACCAAATTTCAAATATCCTTGGGAGTATTCCCTTCCAGATTTGCTACAAAAAAATTTTACGGCGGAATGTTTTCACTGCAACAGCTTGCAAATTTAAAGAGTATAAACGGGCCGCTTCTCAAGTTGTCTTTGTTGTTTTGTTTTTGATTGTTTGGATGTTATTTTATCTCTTTCTATCCTGTTTTAATCAGCGAAGGAAACTTAAGTAATATCTACCCAAGTTCTCGTACTCTGAATCCAACTGAATTGATTAATTATTTTTATCTTTAAACAATTAACTTAATGAATTATTATCTAAAACAAAGATATCACTTGATTCTTTAACATGGAAAGACCTTAAAATCATCGCTGTCATCACGCATAGTTTAGCACTGAAAGGTGACGGAAAGGTACCCTAACGGCGAGCACTGGACCATTTTCCCAATCTTTTAGCAGCAACCTTCTTTGCAACTTCCTCACTCTGTCCAGCATCTTCATCTCCAAGATCTTCAACCCTGGAGTATTTTTTCTTGTCATAAGCTCCCAGATTAAGTAGTTCCTCATATGTCTGGGTTTGCAATTGAAAGCAAGAAATAAGGGTTGTACACTTGCTGCATAGCACTATATCACTATGATGTTTAGCTGAAAAGTAGAGTTACTTCCACAGTGGACTGAGAATCTCTGTGATTTTAAGAGGAATTATAAACTGGAAATGGTGAAATGAGCGTAGACGGCATAACGAGCGTGGAAATATCGCTGACCAGGGATCTAAATGGTCCTACTTGAGCCGTTTACAGCGCTATGGGGAACAAAACCAGTACCATCAAGCATTGCTCCCGAAACTAAATGATGTCAAAGTAATGAAAAATCCACGAGACTTCAAAATTCATAGAATGTCAGCAAGATTTCAATTCTTAAAGCAAACCTCTTCACGAATGTATTTGTCCATTCTTTGTCGCAGGTTTTCAAATGGAGGACGGAAGTCAGGGTTAAAATTCCAGCACCGTTTCATCATATCATGCCTGAAATTAAACAAGGATGGTCAATACTCAACTACTTTTTTTGGAATCTGCGAAGAATTGCAAGAAGCTTCTTTTACTGGAACCCTTTTAAGGAAAATAATGGTTTAGGTTTGTTTTGGGTCATCGAACATATCGGCACTATTTCACTCGCTCTGATCTCGTCGAAGTGCGTAGGCACACATCACCACAGCTGAATACCTTATGCTCTTAGTTCACACTTTTAAAAGAAAACAGCTTTTATATTCATTGGTTAATTATTCCACTGCAAAAATTTCTACAAGAAGAACGTTAATTGTGATGTACTGTGTTGAAATTTAGGCTACACATTGGAAAACGTCGATATCGCACCAGAGAGGTACAACTCACAGTTTTTTATCAATATGATCAGGCTTTGGCAGCTGATATCCTTTTGTGACCTCTGCAACCACCCTGCCTTCTGACCATCCATCGTATGGAATTCCTCCTGTTCAGGCATAAGGACGTGTGCATGTGATATTTAACAATTATTCGCCGAAGGCGAGGTGAATATCGTCGAATAATCCCCGAGACGAAGTCTAGGGGATTATTCGACAATATTCTCTGAACCTGAGGCGAATAACTGTTTTAGTATAATTTCAGAGCTGAACAACAGAGAAATTTCTAAAATAACANGAAACCGGATGTTACAATGTACAGATATTAGATTATGGTATATTGGCTCATATACCATAATGGCTAAGCCAATAAAAAGTCTTGAATTGCATTATCCAATGATCCAGATTTTAATAATACTGAATATATCACTAATAAAGATGTTGAAATTGTAGTCAGTGAGCCATAATTTTAATAATTTATTACAATTGTAAACATCTATCAGGTCAAATAAAAGTGCATATAAACATGTTCCACGAAATTGCTGTGGCTGAGACGTCGCGGTCCCTTTCAACATCATTTTAAACAAGAAAAAAGTCCGCATTTAATATAGCTTGATGATGCCTAAATCTAAATTTTCCTTAATCTTGCATATACATTTACATAGCTTGATGATGCTCAAATACAAACTTTCCTGAGTCAATCTAATTTAAAGTTTCTTCGTTTTTGTTCGGTTTTGATGGTAGTTTCTAACAAGTGAACACTATGGAAGCCTTCTACTTCTTGTTTCATTTCATTTCATGAGATTAAATATTAATAAGTAGCTTGCTACATATTAAAATGAAAACAGAGTTAATGAGATTTGATTTTCATGCGTAAAAAGGAGATGATCTTTACTTAACACGGGAGTTGTCCTAAAAACGACAACTGTCGTACTTTTTGCCTGGAGGTTATACAACTCGACCGGAACTCATTAATAGGGTTCATTTTTACAAGAGTAGCTAGACTTCTTGATCAGTCTTACAAGACTGGGACACTAATGAGCTAACTTAAGGCAAGAGATTGTAAACCATCTATATTATCTTGTTTAAGGACATTTTTAGGAATGAAAGGCCTGAAAAAAGTAAAAACAAACCCTTATTATAAATATTCTTATTGAACTTAGTTTGGCTTACCAAGGGTAACTATCTCATACAGAACGATTCCATAGGACCACCTGATGAACATACGAGAAATATTCCACAGTTAGTGCCGAGTGAATTTTGGATGTGAAGTAACAACAAAAAGAATCAAATTGGGTGATCATTTTGTTAAGGTGATGGAAGAGTGTACACGATACATACACATCACTCAAAGTGGAACGTCCAGCGAGGTTTCCCAGCAGAATTTCTGGTGCAGTCCATTTGATTGGCAAACATCCCTGCGGAAACAAACATTAAAACTTCTCTTTAAACTATAATTATGATAATGTTATTTAATTTGTTTTGTTTTGGTTTGTGATTGACTTTTGTTATTTTTGCTTTACATCTTTTGTGATAATTTTCTTCAATTGTTCCTGAGTATCTCTTATTTTGCAGAGAAAAATCAGTGCTAGCAGAAACAAAAACACTGTGAAATGTTGAACACCAAAGAATAGTCGGTCCTCCATGTACTTCACAGTATGAGAAAATAAAAAGTAACATTTCAGTAGTTGTGAAGGTGTAGTCTCATCGTCCGGGTGAGTGTAGTCCTGAGAAGGACTGTTGTCGGTGGCAGTGACTGACGTTTCGACAACCTGTGCGGAAGTCAGCATCAGAGTGCTATGCCTAACCTACAGCACTGACTATTTTCAACGACTGACTCTGGAAAGCTGGTTTACTAACTTAGAACAGACTCCCCTAAACAGATGTCAACAACTATCCGCCCCATACAAACGACTCATTCACGACATAAACATCACAAACGACCGAAAAAGAACAACCTAGCTTTACCGACAGACCGAAACAGACCAATCACGAACGACTTACGTCACTTGAGTCTTACAGCCAATAACATCACGGCAAAACCAACCGATCATTTCACACGAACTGGAATAAGAACATTCTACTGACAACAATCACTCACTTGACTCTGATGATGACTTCCGCACAGGTTGTCGAAACGTCAGTCACTGCCACCGACAACAGTCCTTCTCAGGACTACACTCACCCGGACGATCAGACTACACCTTCACATGTTACCCCCGGGTTCAAACCATTTACTGCATTTCAGTAGTTGTCATTTTTTTTTTGCGCAGAAGATGAGACAAGTACGAGAACAACGGCTAACGAAAATGAGAAAAGCAAAAGAGCTAAAAATTTTTGGGCCCTTGAACGGCGAGATGTATTAGAACTCGTGATCTTGGAGAAAATAAGTGCATGATCAAATTAAGACAAAGACTTAATTAAGACCGCCGCAATGGGAAAGGCACATGCAGGAGGTTTTTCTCTCATGAAAATGATGGATTAGTGCAGAATAAAGAAAGTATCCAAAGGAAACTTCTTTCGGATCAATGCATACAACCTCCAATCGAATGAGTCGGAGACANTATATAAAATGCAGTAAATGGTTTGAACCCGGGGGTAACATGTGAAGGTGTAGTCTGATCGTCCGGGTGAGTGTAGTCCTGAGAAGGACTGTTGTCGGTGGCAGTGACTGACGTTTCGACAACCTGTGCGGAAGTCATCATCAGAGTCAAGTGAGTGATTGTTGTCAGTAGAATGTTCTTATTCCAGTTCGTGTGAAATGATCGGTTGGTTTTGCCGTGATGTTATTGGCTGTAAGACTCAAGTGACGTAAGTCGTTCGTGATTGGTCTGTTTCGGTCTGTCGGTAAAGCTAGGTTGTTCTTTTTCGGTCGTTTGTGATGTTTATGTCGTGAATGAGTCGTTTGTATGGGGCGGATAGTTGTTGACATCTGTTTAGGGGAGTCTGTTCTAAGTTAGTAAACCAGCTTTCCAGAGTCAGTCGTTGAAAATAGTCAGTGCTGTAGGTTAGGCATAGCACTCTGATGCTGACTTCCGCACAGGTTGTCGAAACGTCAGTCACTGCCACCGACAACAGTCCTTCTCAGGACTACACTCACCCGGACGATCAGACTACACCTTCACATGTTACCCCCGGGTTCAAACCATTTACTGCATTTCAGTAGTTGTCATTTTTTTTTTGCGCAGAAGATGAGACAAGTACGAGAACAACGGCTAACGAAAATGAGAAAAGCAAAAGAGCTAAAAATTTTTGGGCCCTTGAACGGCGAGATCTATTAGAACTGATGATCTTGGAGAAAATAAGTGCATGATCAAATTAAGACAAAGACTTAATTAAGACCGCCGCAATGGGAAAGGCACATGCAGGAGGTTTTTCTCTCATGAAAATGATGGATTAGTGCAGAATAAAGAAAGTATCCAAAGGAAACTTCTTTCGGATCAATGCATACAACCTCCAATCGAATGAGTCGGAGACAAATGAGGGAAAGAAAAAACTCAAATCAAGAGAAAATGAGAGGACTGAAGGGGGCTACTGAGTAGTAGCGATAGTAACGACTGGAGCTATTTGTAGCATTTGGCAAGAAAAGATGCCTGCTTCCCCGGACCTTTATTCTACTTTAAAAGGTATCTCCCTTCTTCTGCAAAGTCATATTTTATAAAATATGAAGCTACATAATATAATTGTGTAAAAATGTAAAAACAAAACTAAACTTGCCACTCTCTTAAAAATAGCTTTCAAGCAGCCCTATTAGAAAAGAGAAAACATATTTCCTTTCGCGAGACTTTCTACAAGAAACTCAGTGAAATTTATATACCACGATGTTTAGCGTTTTACTTTGTCTTTTTCCTTTTTTTTAAGACAACGTGAACTATGAAAACCATGTTGGTGGTCGAGCTAAGTTAATTTCACGCTGAGAAAATGCTGGCGTTTACAGCTTGTTTCTAGAAAGCTCCATAATAAAGCAATAACAACAGCAACAAAAAGCATTTCCTACCTTTTTGGCATTTCCATGGCCATATTTAAAGCTTTGATATGCCATGCCAAAGTCGGTCACTTTGCAAACATAGTTGTTATCGAGGAGAACGTTTCGGGCCGCAAGGTCACGATGAATGATCTACCAGGAGACAAAGATCCATCACGTGAAAGCTTTTAAATTATTTGATTTAACGAGAAAACGGCGAGACAAAGGTCTGAGCATGTGCGAAGGGAAAAGGGCAACTAGGCAGGCCATTATAGTTCTTTAAGGCTGTCAGGGCTAAGGCGTTTACCTTCTTAAGAGAAATGACAAAAATAGTAATGATGGTGATGATAATTATGATAATCACATTAATAATAATTATGAGAGTAAAATGAAGTTTAGATATATATAGAAAACCAACAGGAGACCGGTTGTGCTCATAAAAACAACATGCTCTTTTCATTACCCTACTTTCTTGTTACAACTGTCAAGGGGCACTCCGCTGTGCTTGTTAGCGCAGCGGAGTGTCCCACAACAGGCCACAATCTAATATGGTTGGCGCATATCCGACCATTTTACCTTAGCATTTATTTTTCTGAGGGTAGTCAGACCTCAGTAGGCATCCTATTTTAGCTGCTTCAACCGAACTATTATGTAAATTACTCTCATATATATATTCTTAGCTTTGATCATAAGAATAAATGCTCACACAAAGGGTTCGGCTAAAATGAAGATAGTTAATAACGCAGTTTTGTTAGACAACGACTAAACTTTGTTTGAATAACCGGCCCTATAACTTTGACATCCGAAGTGACCTACTCTCTGTAATAAAAGTACCATGGCCCAAAAATGGGTCTCGGACTTTAAGTAAGTGAAACGTACCCACAAATGTTGGTCAGCATCTGAGCTATATTGGAAAACAGTTGAAAGGTCTGAGAAATTTTTCGGAGTTAGAATTGATTTATGACAACAATGAAGGAATTCACTTACCCCTCTCGATCCAAGGAACACCATGCCAGCAGCGATTTGTTTGGCAAACATCACAAGATCGTAGTTGGTCAAATCTTGAGCCCTTCCCTCACCAAGATAATACCGGTCCCTGACTCCTCGGCATTTTCTCAGGTAACCAAGTAGGTCACCGCATGGCATGTATTCCATGATGAGAATTGGGTGAACTTGAAGTGGCGTGAAAAAAAAAGTCAAGGCTCATACCCACCATATCTATTAAAAGTTTAGGAAGAGGACTCAATTTAAGGATTTTCCTTCATGAGACTTAAGCCTAGATTTTTGAAATGAGAAAGCAAGACAGCTCGAATACCAAGATTAATGATATTAGATACTCTGGTCTTGCGTCCAAAATCTTCGTGATGGGCCTATCGATAAATGTTCTCAAAGAGGAACAGTCTAGCTACAACGCGCACACATACACATACACACACAAACGCACACACACACACACGCACACACACGCACACACACACACTCACACGCACACACACACTCACACGCACACACACACACACACACACACACACACAGAAACAAACAAAACAAAACAAACAAACAAAACAAAAACAAAAAATAGAAACCACAAACTTCGTCCGATCAACGAGCTGTTCTTGTTCTTGTTTATGGAGCTCATATAAAGAGGTAGTGTGGTATTTTTAATAACTTATACATTGAAAAATGCGTTACACTTAGTACTTACTTTGAGTTGTAACGCAGCCCATGAACTTTACAATGTTTGGCTGATTGTTTTCACCGATAAGTTTTCCCAGCTCAATTTCTCTCATCAAACATTTCCTTCCCTCCTCTCCAGCAGTGGCTACAACAACAGGATATGTTGATGAAGAAAATAATTCTGATAAATTTACCATTTAGATTATTTTATTTGAAACCAGTACGTTACTCAACTCACTGACGAGTTCTCCCTAGACATCGCTGGGTCGATAGAGTTGGAACCAGTTAAGGTTCAAATCCTACCAATGGACTCTTAGTTTTCTTTGTTTATCATCTTCATAAAAATGATTTTTGTTGCCGCTTTTCTTCCGTATATTGCCGCGAACGGTGAATATCCACGAAAATCAGATCTTTTAAACCAAAATCCTTCACAAGGGCGCCGAGAAAAAACTCGCACTAACTGTTTACAGTGATCAGCCCAAAATTATAATCGAGTCGAGAGAAAGTAAAAGATATAAAGAGGTTTCAAATGGATGGCCTTGTGGCGCCGTTCGGAGATGCTGCCAGGGCGCATGCGCGAAAACTTAGATGTCTCGTATGGGGACCCAGGCGACGGTCGTGTGTAGAGCATCCAATCCTTGTAAATGCTATCGAAAACCACCGTCCACTCAGTCTGTTGGAATGCCCCCCTCAACCCGAAACAGTCTACTACTGGAAAAATGGGGATAAGTCACGTTCTGTTGGAAATAATTGCATTTTTTAGCAAAACATAGTTTAGGAGGAAAATAAGCTCTATTGGATCCATTGACGGATTCACGGGGAAGATCCGGGCCCACCCCTCATCTCCCTCCAAATACAAAGGCACGGCACAAAAAGTTTTGCAATGACAAGATCGCCTAACTGGCTGATTTCTTTTTTAATCAATTTGTTTGCCTTTTCTCTCTTCTGTTCAGTGTTTATCCGTGAGCGAAGAAGAGTGGAGGAGGTTGTGCGTTGGTCGAGAGATAAGTTTGGACCCCCCTCTCCGTATTAAACTTTCTAGAATCCACCCCTGGATTCAATATAAGTATCAACATATCGACTCAAAGGAATCTTACGCGTGAAGCATTTAGCGGCGACTGTTCGGTTTCCAGGCCTTCCATTCGGTGAACTCAGGAGAGCTCTCCATACGGCTCCGAACGCCCCTCGCCCAATGACTTCTTGAAGCAGGACACGGCTCACCTCAATCTCCCATTCATCTACCTCTACATTCAATGGCTCCATCTGAATTGCCTGCTCTTGATCAGGGCTGAAAAGTGGAAACGTTACATACTTTCAGGGTTAAAACAAAGAACGGTATTAAAAGAAATTTTGCCTTTGAAAGCAAAAAAATTATTAATTTGCTAGTATAATTTTATTGATTGCCCCGACTTTTACCCAGATAATTGCCCTTGCTGATGATGAGAAGACAAAGTTATCACTAACTAGGGACCTAACTTATCACAAAACACGCTCGTAACTATTCATTATGTAATTACACTCCTCAGCTCAGACTAAGTAAAAAAACTACTCCGTTGTTTGTTAAAAAAGAATTACGGAAAATTTTTCAGTCGTTTAAAAACCGGAAAATTATACTTTAAATTGAAATTTAAAAAACATTGAATTTTGGGATACAAACAGGTAGAATTCAAAGAAACTTTGAGGCAAGAAAGAAAAAAACTAACAAACGAACCTATAAGGTTGATTCTATCAGTAATTCATGAATGTTATATATGCCGGGATAATTATTATCATAATAAAAGTAAAATGATATCATCTTTGTTACGGTCATCATATAAGGTTGTAAGTCACGAGGGGGTCAGAAATAAATTGAAATTTTTTGGACAAACTGAAAACAATGCTTCACAAAAAAACGAAAAAAAAAATAGTGATGTTGGTGACTGATAAATATGGGGATAGCCTAGAAAGGATTAAAGCATGAGTAAAAATTTGATGAACAAAAGGTAAAGTAATTGACTTACAGAGCCATAGCTGCAATTTCAATCGAAAAAAATTAAGAGAGGAGACAAAGAAGGAAAAACTTTGTATCAATGTATTTAATCAACTATTCTTTTAAAATTGCTATACAACGGCAGCATGATTTCAATGTACACCAAATATCAGCTGAATTGACAAATGTTCTCAAAGTACCGTCATTAATCATAACAATATCAATAATGATGATAATAATAATAATGTTAATAATATTTCAAAAATTATTCTTATTATTACAATAATAATTAACAAATTGCAGTTTTCGCTTGGTCGTTTCATTGTTTTTTCGACTTGAAAGGGTAGGATCGAGGAAACAGTTAAAGTGTGGGGTGACATAAACAAAAAGAAAATATATGTAAGCATTAGTTAGCTTTTGTTACTCTAATCAAAGGTAGCTAAAATAAAACAAAACAACTGAGCTTCACCTGTCCTTCGACGCTTGCAGAAAAAGCAGGCAATCAGCGAAATGACAATCACCACCGCCACTAATCCACCAATGTAATACCACAAAGAATTGGAACCTTGAATGGCTCTTGGAACTTCTTCTTCTAATTGTGTCAAATAAATGTGGTCATTATATCAATCTCAACGATAGTGTCTGTAATAATAGTCATGTTACCGTCCGGAATGGCCTTGGACATCCCTGTTGTGCGTTATTTTAACCCGTGATTGACGCCTGTTCTTAAAAGTGAAATCACTACTTTTTCTTTGTGTAGATTTATAGCTAAGTCCAAGGTTGTTTTCTTATGACCCTCCACGTGAATAAGTGTAGTATGTAGCTATATACATGTATAAGGTTCTGCTACTGTTTCTAATACTTTTTTTAATTGAAAAAATTTATATTTTCCAAGAAAACAAAAACCGATAGCAAACTTTGGGGAGAACGTAAGAAGCAGAAGTTTTCTCCTATGAGAATGGTCAGGTTACTTGATTACTGAAGTGTTATGTGCTTCCTTAGACACAACAGTAACGCTAGGTTACGTTCGACAGTTATGTTCACAAAGGAGCGGGCCACAAACCCAAGCTTTTTACTTCCTTCACAAAAATATTCACCACCGTCCTCTTCAAAAACCTCACTGATAGAAAGTTCACTCTTTGTCTCATCCAATTGTGTATTAATTTCTTTCCAACTTCAGTAATGAATAATTATGTAGTAAAAATGTATCATGAGATCATTATTCCTTAGTCATTGGTAAATGTAGAGGATATGGATGCAAAGTGGAAGCGTCCTTTTATTCTGGCTTAAACTACAGAAAATAACACTTTCTTGAGTTACAAGTTCAATAAATTACAGACTGCAGTATGAAAATTTACCGGTAACATCGATCCAGAAGGAGGCGTTAGCTTTGCCATAATTATTTTGAGCAGTGCATTCATAAAGGCCTTTATCTTTAAAGGTCGCACGTCTAATGGCCAAGGTGTTGTTGGTACTAAGAAGCACTCCATCCTTAGTCCAGTTGACATGTACTTCTGGATCACCACTCCAGTTACACTTTTTAATAAACGTCGAGTGAAGCTCAATGTTAACATTCTTGAACTCAAGCTTTATACGGGGTGGAACTGCAAAGCGAATGGAAAATACAGAGATTGCAAATATGATAATTACAGAATAATTTGGATATATCAACAAAGTTGAAATGGTAAATTAGCCACCGTAATGATTACAAAAGCTGACGTTTCGAGCGTTAGCCCTTCGTCGGAGCGAATAGAGGAATTGTGGGTTGTGTGTGCTTTTAAAAGCAGAAAATGGAGCTACTTTATTGGTGGGAGCATGGCTACGAGAAAAACATGAATAAATTAGTGGAATGAAAAGCGTTCGTTGATCCCTGTGGGATTTAGACTACCGGTTTGAAAGATGAGCTTTTGTACAAGATTTTTACGGCTTTCCGTGCCACCTAAGTGCAAGGAAAGACCGCAGATTGCCATGTGTTACTTAGAATGATTAGGTAAATTAAAATGTCTAGCGACTGGTTTCGATGTGTCCTTGTCATTCCTTTCCACGTCTCGAAGGTGTTCTCGGAATCGGTCACCTAGTCTTCTGCCTGTTTCGCCGATGTATATCTTTTTGCAATAAGTGCAAGTTATGCAATAGATTACATTGGCGGAGGTGCACGTGAAGTGATCGGTGATCTTAATGGATCGTTTAGGTCCCGATATTTTATCAGTGTTGTGAATGAAAGGACACGTTTTGCATCGTGCACGAGCGCATTTAAAAGTGCCTGGTTGGTCATTAGTCTGAAAAGAACTTCTGACCAAAAAATTGCCTATGTTTTTGTCGCGTTTGAATGAAATGAGCGGAGGCTGCGAAAAGATAGTGCTTGTCTCTGGATCGTTTTGAAGTAATTTAAAGTTTTTAAGAATGATGGATTTAACTGAGTGGTTGTGAGGGTGAAACGTGAGAGTGAATGGAATGCGGTCGGAATCTTCCTTATGCGACGTTTGTAGTGCTGAATGTCGATCAATAAGTTGGGCGCGGTGGTAACCCGCTTGAACGACAGAAACAGGGTAACCACGTTTATCGAAAAACTGGCACATTGACTCTGATTTGTGGTGGAAATCAGAGTCATCACTACATAAACGACGAAGTCTTAGAAACTGAGAAAAAGGAATGGAATTCTTAACGTGAGATGGATGCGAAGACGAATATAACAAGTAATTATGCGAGTCTGTAGGTTTGTAATANTCCCCTTCCTCCCCCCTCTTCAAATAAATAAATAGAAAGGAAGATGAAGATTAAACAGGCTTTGATTAAATCATGCAATGCATCCAAAAACCACCTAGGCCAGGCCATATAACTAACTGAGCTCTGACACAATCCCACAGGAATAGATATAAGATCACACAGTCTAAAAAAACCCTTATTATGAGACTGGTCCTCACAGATGAGTCCATTGCAGTTATTAGGTGAAACGTTAGATTTCAAGTATTCCTGATGATTTTCCTAATATCCGTTTCTACTTAGTATTTTTACCTCAACCAACAACACAACATGCATTAGAGATACCGACTGTCCAAGTTCCATAACGCAGGTAATTCCCAGAAATTCTGAATCGCACAGTAGGATTAGTCATTATGAGAACTACAGTTTAATGTGCCCGCGGTACAACAGAGAAACGGTAGAAGGTAGAACTTTTTATGTTCGTAGGCTGGAATGGGACCCTTTAGAAATGCGTAAGAGGCAGTCTATTAGTTCCTTTAGTTCTGCCTGTTTTGAAACTATTGTTAACTGTTTTTAGAGGATGTTTAGGGTACAGAGCAATTAGTTCAACAGTTTATACTGTTTATGTGCCTTCCTTCACAAACCAAGGTGTCACTTACTTACACAATGACCCTGAAGCTCAGACTCAGACCCCTTGATTTAGAGTTCGGCCTACTGAACATTAATCTTCACCCGATTTACAAACCAAATGCAAGACTGATTTGAAGTATAACTATGAGATTAACAAACTCACCCTTAACAGAAATGTTAACGTGTTTGGTATCTTTTCCAGCGTCATTCTCTGCTCTACAAGTGTACTGCCCTTCGTCGCTCTTTTTTATTTTAGGGAAAAGGAGAGACCAACCCTTTTCCTGCAAAGTATTATTCTTAAGCCACGTTATCTCAGTCTCACGCCGACCAACCACAATTTCACACGTCAAGTTCACACTGTTTCCCTCTATGATGAGATTGCTTGCTCCTGAAATATCCACTTTTGGTCGAACTAAGAGGTAAAAAAAGCGGAAACAAATACAAACAGAAAACGGTGACATTACTAAGCACATAGCATTACTCTATTTTGTGTTAACATTTCTCATTGAGATTTTATACTACTGTTTCTGGCCTTTTTTTGTGCAAATTTTACCTTCATTTTCACAGACCACCTTGGACCGAGTCAGGAGTTACAAGGCAAAATAGATATAAATTGGTCAAAACCCTCTTTTGGGTACGGACCTACAGACTTTCATAGTTGCTTGTTTAATTTATCTTCGCATCCATCTCATGTCAAGAAATCTATTCCCTTTTCTTAGTTACTAAGACTTCGTCGTTTATGTTGTGATGACTCTGATAGTTTTAGACAATTTAGAGGCAACGTGCCACTTTTTCTAAAAACGTGGTTACCCTGTTTCTGTCGTTCAAGCAGGTCACCACCGCCCCCAAATTATTGATCGACAATCAGCACTACTAACGTCACAGGAGGAAAATTCCGACAGCATTTCAGTCACCCTCAAACTAATGACCAACCTGGAACTTTTAAATACGCTCGCGCACGAAGCAAAACTTGTCCTTTCATTTACAACGCTGAGAAAATATCGGGACCCAAATGAGTCAATAGGATTACCGATTACTTCACGTGCACTTAGTCTAATGTCATCTATTACATAACTTGCCCTTGTTGCAAGAAGATACACATCGGCGAAAGAGGAAGATGTCTAAGTGACCGATTCCGAGAACATCTTCGCGACGTAGCAAGGAATGGCAAGGGTGCATTAAACCATTCGGTAGACATGTTAATCTACCTAATCATTCTAAGCAGCAAATGGCAGTCTGCAGTCTCTTTTTACATTTAGGTAGCTCGGAAAGCCGCAAAACTCTTGAATTTAAAGTTAATCTTTCAAATCGGCACTCTCCGATGGGTATCAACGAACACTTTTCAATCTACTTATTTATTCTTGCTTTTCTCGCCACCATCTTCCCACCAATAGCGTAACGCCACTTTCTGCATATAAACGCGCACACAACCCACAATTCCGCTCTTCGCTCTGACCAAAGGCTAACGGTCGGAACGTCAGATTTTTAACTCTTTACGGCGGCTAATTTACAATTTCAACTTAATTAATATAACCAAATTACCTAAAATACCAACAGCCTTGCCGTAAGTACTAGAACGTTACATGACAAGATTAGCACTTGACTATAATTATAATGTCCTTTTGTTTGTTTCTTTGTTTGTTTTCAGATCGCAGACCTCTTGAATTTCGTATGAAGATCTGTTAATAATAGTCTTCCATTGCAACAGACCAAAGCACAGCGACGGAGAGTCCGTTTTCCACAGTTACTGCTAATCTTTACATAGGGAGTTTTGGAAAGAAAGCGATAACGTCAGCATCCTATAAGCCAAGGATCCGGAAGCACTATGTAGTTGTTACGTTTATCATCTTGGATTGGGAGAACGTCGATAGCTTCCTACAGTATTTTTACAACCAAAAGCCGTCCGCTCGGCTACTCGAGGAGGCAAAACAAACAAATCCCTCGCCATTCTCGCACGTTCAAGTGACACTAACGCGCAGCTTGCAGTCAAAGCGTCGCGATTCACATCCGAAGTAATTGCATCGCTAGACAAACGATTATACTCAATACAGAAAGAAAACGCACCGCGATAATCAGCCAAAGCTGTTTTTAGCACATGATCAGCTTATAAAGAAACTATTAATCTCATCGAAAGGCACTGCTTTGCATTATGACGGTCAACCTACGGAGTTAACAACTGTAAATTTTTTAACTCGATATATTTATTAAACAATTAAAATCAACAATATAATTATAATAAGGTTTCGCCTCACATGGCTGCAGATATGAACAGCAAAAATACTGTAAACTTGAATTGGTTAGGTAACAATCATTTTTAGGAACTGATATAACTGCCTGACGTTCTTTACATTGCCCCTCTTGGTTACTCACCTATAACTGTCACTTTTATGTTTTTATCACGGCTTGTGACCCTCTTTGGTCCCTTAGTTTGTTTCATTCTACAAATGAATGTCCCATCATCTTCAGGCTTTACACGGCTAATATGTAGATTGCCATTGGATACTGGAGTGAATCGTCCTTTGCTTAAGGGCTTTCCATCTTTCTTCCTCCAAGATATCTGTGGCCTTGGCTTTCCCTCGGCACTGCACCTTATAGTACCTTTTTTTCCCGCAGTCATAGTTTGTTGGTTTGGCGTGTCCTCAGTAAATTTTGCTGTCAAAATAAGTGATAAGAATCATCAATATCATAGAAGTACTATTAAAAGATCAGTATGATGAATGATCTTACCCCTCATCATCCAGCATTTTTAGCCTATACCTGTATCTCTGTAAGCTGAAAAGATGTTTTCTTACCATTAACGTAGACAATGTAATATTCAACATATTCCAATCTGGAGCATTCGTATAGTCCTGCATCAGACAACTGCACTTTATCAATGAACAGTTCACCACTTTTTTCAATCCTGATTCTTTGAGACGTAGAGTTTGGGATTTGCCTTACACCATTAATGAACCATCCTGTATAACTGGTTTCATTATTTACTGAGCATTGAAGCTTTTCATTACTGTCAATATCAAAATAGAGTTCTTTTGTGTCCAACACTTTTTTGTTCTCTGCAAGAAATAGTTCAGTTAGAGGGTGTTATAGAAAAAAAATAATCTCATCTTGAATAACATTACAGGTAGAGAAAGAAAAGATGAATATATTTACCAATACCAATGCTTAAACTGACAGATTTGTAGATTTTCCGTACATTATATTAGACCAAGTTACATTACTCCACACAAAGTCATGTCAATCGTTGTCAAATTCTGTTACATCCAAATTTTAAAAGTCGTGAAGCCTCTTTAAGACCAAGGTAGCCCCTCACCAAGTCATGAAATTCAATAAACAGCCATTGATACCCCCGTAAAAATCATTTGAGCCCTAGCTTAAGTCATCTGAGTCATTTTACCTTGGACCAAGTAAAATCACCACTAAGCATAGTCATGTCACCCCAAACCATGTCATGTCATCACTTGTTCGAGTCATATCTTTATCTTAACTATAAAATTTTCGAAAAAAAAACTTATCCCTTTTCGCAAACCGTACTTCAGCAGGCGCTCTTTAGAAAAGAGGTCATCTATAGATCCGAATTTTTATCTGATTTTCCATTATTCTAAAATTTTTAAGGGTGGAAGAGAGACAACACAGGAGAACAGAATCACGATTAGAGCTTTAGAATGAACTACTTACTTGGTTGACACAACGCCTGAGAACCCTTGCCATCTGATAAACATTGAGGTGAGATCTTAACTTTGCCATCAATACGAGCACAAGATGCAAGTTCTGGCTCATTTCCATTGCAAGAGACATCTGACATTGCAAAAGGAATTCCGTCATCCTTAACGTCTGAACTAATGAATTCCGCCAAAGCC